CGGTTACCCCAGGATCATCCACGACCTATCAAATCAATTACCCCAGACTTACCGCCCGCTATCTGCACCCGCGACACCTGAACCTCCTTCGGATCTCTACCCTGCTTCTCTGACTTACAAAATCGAGCTTGTCAACCATGACGACCCCGTCTTGGAAGACCGCATGCTGAAGGCCGCGTACGACCAGGTTCTCCCCGGCACTTCGCGACGACGCGTTCACACTCCCACCGCGGTCCTCTACATCAGCCACAAGATCTTCTTACTCATTGCGCAAACTACCCGGCTCGCCATGGACGCTCACGATCGGGAGGAAGCTGGCGGTACGACTCGTTCGTTCTTTACCGACCTTCCCGGCATCTACTACCCCGCCGACGGATTCGCCGTGCCCGAAGGACAGCCGCCGGACAGCGACATGCGTCTCAAGCTCCCCGTACGCGCTGCTTCTCCGCCAGGCTTCACGCGCTCGATCCATAACTTATACGAAGAGGCCCCTCACATGTACCGACCACTCTCCGCTCCCGCCACGCCCGATCCACCGACTCTGGAATACCCAGAATCTTGCACCTACGTTATCGACCTCATCTCGAACTTCGACCCTCGACTCGGCGGCGCCAAGATGAAGGCCAGCCATTACCCCCTCAATGGCTCGGACTTCTCCCCTCGCTCGACGGACGACTTCACTCCGCGGATGTTTATCGCCCGCTCACTGTTCGCTCAGCTCGCCTACGCCGCACATCACGCAGTCGAAGAACGGGCGCGCACAAAGGTGAGCTCCGAGATCGCACTCAATTGTTCAAGCCCCAAACTCACCAACATACAGGACTACGACGATACACTAGACCTACATGATGTCGAAATGGAGGAGCCTAGTCTCCAAGGACCTCCCCGCGTCAATACTCTCGTACTCCCGTCGCCGCCTCCGCTCGCCCTAAGCGGACCACCCTCTATATTCCAGCTCCCGAACGGCCTCGATCCCTCGGTTAGCCAGGATATCGCGCGACATCTTGAACGACTGCGACTCGCCGAAGGATACTCGGTAAACGACCGCCCGCCGACGCCGCACCCGCAGGCTCTGCAAGGCGCCATCACACATCGTCTCGCACAGTTTCCGCCGGGCCACGCCCTCCTCACAGGACCCGGCATGCCGTTCTATCGGTGCGACGGCTACATCATCCCGATCGGCGAACCACCCGCCAGCAGCCAGCGAATCAAAGTCCCTATGCGACTGAGGACACCGGAGGGATACCGCAACACTATCCACACCCTCTCGCGTATGGACCCGACGTTATTCCGCCCTCTCTCAGCGCCATCGACACCCGAGCCACCCACGGACGACTACCCTAACTCCCGACTTTACAATCTCATCCTTAGCGCCCCCGAAGACCCGAACGAACACCCTTTCCCCTTCTCGGTCGAGTTCTCACCTCCGCCTTCGCCGAAGCCTCATGCCGTCAGCCGCGTCATTCAAGAGACGGACCCATTCCTCTGGATGGACGAGGCCCTCTTCGATTACTTAGACATGACCTTCCCGCTTCCCCGGCACTGGACCAGGCGACTTAACTCGCCCGACGTTTGCTCGCCTGGACCGGACGAAGGCGACTCCTCTGCACTCCCGAACGTCGACGAGGAAATGCTCCTCGCCGAGTACGACCGGCTCCGCATCAACGATCCTGAACCTACCGACCATCGCCCAGACGATCGCCGCAAATCTGTGCCCACCGACGCCGAGTACGTCGTCTCTTCCTGGATTCCTACCGACATCACTTACCCCGACTCTTGCAAAAAACTCAGCGACTCCGACATCTCTTATTCCGACAGCTCTTCCTCGACCAGTTCGATCTCCTTCGCGGCCCCTCGCCGATCTCTCGCCAACATTCTTCGATCAGTCAACAACCGGATGGCCCACCTCGGAGAAGCCATGCAGTTCACCGTCGCCGCCGTCGCTACGCTCCTATCCAGTCACGCCGCCTTCTATCGTGCCGCCCAGAACAACCACTTCGACCTCGAAACTAACCTCACCTCGATCTACGACACCGTCGAAACCGCCGCCCGTACAATCCGCGAAACCGACACGGATCATCAAATGTCGATGGACCGAATCGCCCGCGACCTCCTCGACCTCCAGCTCGACATTGGCGCAATCCGAACGAATGTCGAGGCCTGGAACTGGACACCCGAAGATGCCGACGAGGCAGATGGTACGCTATTCTTATTTGTCAAACCTCCGCCCGCGCTGACGCCCGCACAGCAGGCAAGGAACTTAGCCCGCTCTCGTCCAGCCCCGACACCTCGTCCGACATGGAATTATCCGCCGCCAACTTCAACGATGTCCAGCCATGAACGCCGAATCAAACCGACCCGTCGCGAACTCATGAACACTCGGGACACGGACCCATACTTGTACGATATCGCCGCCGACTCCCGTTCTCTTCGCACCGCGAGCACTTGCTCATGCCATTCCGCAAACACGAACTCTAGGCTACTAACGAACTATGTACATGTACTCTTGCGTCCGGACCGTCGATCTTGTATCACAGACCCTCCGCTATGTAGTGAACCTCCGCCTCGCTTATGAAAGTCCGCCTAACTACTGTAGCTACACCTGTCGCTCCGCAAATCATGTATGGCTCGAGAGAATCAATTTTGAAAGAAGACTTACCGATCGAGCATCCGGAAATCCTGAGCCTCGGACTTCGAGTTTCTGAAGCGCCACCCACCGGGCCGTCGGACTTTGAAATTTCGGAGGATGAGTGGGTCACGGCGATATGGCTCGGAAACGCGGCGGATTTACCGGAGAATATGCAA